AGAGCTATGAAGATGTGCTGGAGAACATCAAGACCAAGAAGGTCCAGGTGGTGGACTCCAGGTCTGCTGGCAGGTTCCGGGGTACCGAACCAGAACCCAGAGAAGGTTAGCAAAACAAAACTTTCCATAAATGCCAGTGAACAGGCTGCTCGTTAAAGACTACAGGACACAGGTCAAGCTCAAGGTCATTTCAAACTCTCAAAGCCCAACTCTTTTACATTTTAGACAGAAAAGGAGATGATATAGATAATGTAAATATTTTACATGTCACAAAAGCCATAAATTTGAATTACTTAAGTGGAAAACCAAGGAGAAAGATAAGCTTTAGCAGACATTTGACTGCTCTAACTATCATATATGAACATGCGTGCACATTATACAATAACTTTCGTTAATGTTGCTATGACCTAAGACTTGGGTTAAATATATGTTTGTGTTCATTGAAACATAAACCCCAGATCATGAGAACATATCCGTTTACTGGAACAAAAGCTTCTAAATGATTAAAATCCCAACAGTATGGTTTTATTCAAAGCAATAAGCCTGTCTTGCATATTTGTAAAAGTCTAATATTAATGTAGTCCCAGCAGATCTTTGGGATATTGTAAATTCTACAATAATGATAAATTTGCAATGCAGCCCAGGCTGGAATGGTATTACAGGGTTTGTTTAATTGTATTTTTAAAAGCGATAATGCCAACATTTTTGCATTTGGTGCCTTTTTGTGAATAATACCATTTACTGGGGAAACGTTTTCCCACTTCTCTGTCTTCCCTGCTCAGATATCCTCCCTGGGCATTTCCCCGAAACCATTAACATCCCCTTCACGTCTTTCCTGGATTCCTCTGGAAAGCACCACAGCCCTGAGAATCTGACCAGGCTCTTCCAGGAGGCCGGGGTGGACCTGGAGAAGCCGCTCTGGGCCTCCTGCGGTTCTGGAGTCACAGCGTGTCACGTGATCCTGGCTGCCCACCGGCTTGGCTATTCTGGGGTTGGTCTTTACGACGGGTCCTGGGGAGAATTTTTCAAAAGGGCTCCTCCAGAGCTCATCGTCTCAGAGGGAAAGAAGGAGTGATAGCCAGGTGCAATCGAGAACAGGTCACTCTTTGAGGATGGGAGCAACATTTTGCTGTGGAGAAGCTTAAAATACTCACCTTGTATTGGGAGGTTTGTGCTGGGATGAGCACATGAAAGGCTTTGATGAATCATGACTAACTTCACTTAAAGAGAGACGCAGATTTTAAGAGTTGTAGAAGAAATCATTTCAGAGAATCTCACACTGTGCTATGCAAATGTAATCTAGTTTTTATTTTGTGATTTAATATAAAATTAAAGAAAATGATTCATATTACATGTTAAATAATGTGTTTCAATATGTATCACTGCTCAATAATGTGAAAACTGAACTGCCAAAGTGCCTTAAATCTGCATGCATCTTATGGTGCTACAGTCTGTTGTTATACTGCTGTTAATGTAATGATTCAGTGAGAAATTATGCAAACTGGTAAATGTTGCAGAACTCAATGCATTTCAATTGTAGATCATAGCATTAAAGGAATTGCCACATTTTATTGTTTGTGATTTTCTTCAAATAACTGCCTTTAGTACATTTTTAAAAAGGTATAAGCTGCTCACTTTTGTAGTTGAACATGACTGCACAGTGAAAATGATACATTAAACGTCCGACCAATTAAAACGCAGACAAACGTGAGCAAAGAGGCGGCTGATTATGGCTTCATGCCATCTGTACAAATCCCACAGCATCATTTATTGTCCAATAAAATGAGGCTCTTTCCATTCACATGATCCGTTTTGTTTAGAACTTTTTTTTTTTTAATTCAAATTCCATTTCCTATCACATGATGCTCCTCTAGCGAGCTGCAGATTCATTCTTCCCAGATATAATTATTTGTACATCAACGAATGAGCTAAGAGAAACATGTTTATCTGACATTTATTAGATTCCTCCGGCAGCGTCTTAAAGCTCAAACTGTCTTTGCAGTGATGTCATTTGTAGCTGAATATTTCACATTTTAAGCCCGTTTTAAAAAGCAAGATCCAACATTGTATTTTTTTTTTCTACCTCAAAAGGTTTGGATATTAATTTGCTCTATTTAAGGACTCAACAGAGTCAGAATTGATATGTGAATTTTGATTAATGTGTGATCAAAATTGATGATCACACATTCATATTTCTGCTGAACTTCATCTGACTTTATAGCAATATATTCTGTTGTGAGCACGTTAGAATCACAACCTTCAATCTAATTTGGATGTTTGTGGTAGCAAATAGTTAATCTGTGGGTAATTTAATCTCTTTATAAATATAGCTTTTCACTGAATTCCTGAAAAGTTTATAACATGGGGAACAGCTATAAAGTTAATTTTTATGGAAGAGTGACCAGAAGAAAAGCAACAGCTTTTGCATTTGGTTTAGCACATGCTGTGCAGGGGAAATGTGGAAATAGATGCTGTGGACAGATGATACTAAAATGTTTTTTGTTTGTTTTTGCTGTGGCAGGAAACAGACATTGCACCCAGACTTCAGCATCCCTACGTTAAAAATGGTGGTTGTGCTGCAGGGATGTCACTATGGCTTGATAAAGAATATTTTTTTAAGTTAATAACAAATTTTGACCAATATCCAATTAATCTTGGAAAAAAAACAGTATGTAGAGAGCAATCAACATCCAAAAATAGGAAAATGTCTTTGTTTAAAAAGCCTATGTCATTTTGAATAAAACCCTTTTTATTGATTGGATCAGAGTTATTTAGGAATCTGATTGGTCTAAATATAAGACGACCTTGGTTTGTTTTATTAAAACATTGATTGTTTTGTTTATTAGATGTAGACCAGCTTTGTTGGCCAAGACTGTGAGCACAAACAAGGAATTTGACAGGTTTTCAAGTGCTCACAATATAAAAGTACAAAGAGGAGTGGAAATAAAAGTATTGCATAAAAATATTTTTATTTTTATTTTTTTTTTTTTTTGTGGCTTTAGGGGGTTTAATTTGATAATTTTGACAGACATGGCAAAACGTTTGGACATCCTTGCTGTAGGGGGCGCTGGTAATTTTCTTTGGTCAGAAATGCACCAGACAGTAATAAACGATAACTGATTTCCAGAGCGTGACAGATAACCCATAATAACATCTGAGATAACAGACGTATACCGTTACGTTTTCCATTTTGATGTCAGTTAGTTTACGTTGAAATATTTTATTCAGCCTCCTATCATGGTCGCTCAGATTCGCGCTGTGGTATCCGCTCAGTGGCTGGCTAACGCTGCCAAAACTAAACTCGTCGGCCCAAAACTTCGTGTTCTGGATGGAACTTACGTGCCGAGAAGCAATTGGAACCACAGACACGAGATCAGTCAGAAACACATACCAGGAGCGTCGTTTTTCGACTTAAACGAATGTTGCGACAAGAGCTCAAAGTATGACAATATGCTGCCGACCGCCAGCGACTTCTCCCGGTATGTCAGTGACCTCGGCATCGGGAACGACACCCACGTCGTCGTCTACGACACCAGCGACTTCGGCTCGTTAAGCGCCCCTAGAGTGTGGTGGATGTTCCGGGTGTTCGGACACAGCTCGGTGTCGGTGTTGGACGGAGGCTTCAAAAACTGGGTGGCTGACGGTCACCCGGTGGCCTCCGACTACACCAAGCCGGAGAAGACAGACTTCAAGGCGAGCCTGAACCAGTCCTGGGTGAAGAGCTATGAAGATGTGCTGGAGAACATCAAGACCAAGAAGGTCCAGGTGGTGGACTCCAGGTCTGCTGGCAGGTTCCGGGGTACCGAACCAGAAGCCAAACAAGGTGAGGAGTGTATTTATCACGCTTTAGAGTTGGATGGGTGTTTATCTTTCAGCAGGAAAACGACCATAAACATTAAAGCCAGAGCTAAAATGGAAAGGTTTCACTCCAAGCATATGCTACAGTGGTCTAGAAGTCCAGAAATAAACACAAAACTTGAAAACTAAAAGAAATGCTCTCTATTAAATTCAATTAAACTTCAACTGTATTACAACACAGTTCAAAAATGTAACTTCTTAGATGGGTAAAGTTATAAAACTACAACACTTTGTTTTGCTCTACCACATAAAATTAGAATTTTCGCCTGAAACATTATGCAAAAGATGTGAATAATTTTATGTCTCTTCTTTTTAGTTAAGCTGAAAGATGATCTGCAGTAATCTGAATATGATCTTGAAAAAGTTTGTTGCAGGATACCTGCTCCATACCTGCATAAATACCTCCATAATATCAGAAATAACCCCTGGTGGTAGTACATCCATATAGGCAGATAAAGACAAACGTTTTAAGTAAGAATAAAATATATGCATGAAAACAACACTATTACTGAAAAATCATAATAAATAAAAATCCCCACCCCCTCCTGCCTTCTTTTTTCAGACGTCCTCCCGGGGCATTTCCCAGGGGCGATCAGCGTCCCCTTCACATCTCTCCTGGATTCCTCTGGAAAATATCACAGCACCGAGGAGCTGGCCAAAGTCTTCCAGCAGGCCGGGGTGGACCTGGAGAAGCCGCTCTGGGCTTCCTGCAGTTTGGGAATCACAGCGTGTCACGTGATTCTGGCTGCTCACCGGCTTGGCTACTCTAGGGTTGGTCTTTACGACGGATCCTGGATGGAGTTTTTCAAAAGGGCTCCTCCAGAGCTCATCGTCTCAGAGGGGGAGGGAAAGAAGGTCTGATCTGGTTGAGCACTTTCAGTGGAAACTGTTAAAGGTTCCAATCTACAGTTCATTTTCTAATCTAATATCTACATGAATGATAGAATGATGACTGAATGTTTAATGAATGTGAATGAATCACTGAGTTCCTCAAGACTACAGTTGAAACAAGATATTTATATGGGCTGCATAGGAACATGCATATCTTTTTTTTCTCACTGTCTGACACAAAATCAGACTAAACTTTGCCTGTTTTATGTCAGTCATGTCATACATTTTTTCTGGGTATTCACACATTTGCTTTGTATTTAGTGGAATTGCCTTTTAGATTATGATTTAGAGTGAAATGTGTTGCTTGTTTCAGAATGACACACCTTCTGCTCTCTGCTCAGAAATTTTCTATGATACTGATATGAGAGCAACGTGATGGTCCACGGCAAAACACCGACTTTGTTGTACGCAACCCACTTTGGAACCGGCCGTTTGCTTACGGTTGTTTTAAATTAGAAAAAATCTTCTTTTTTTTTTTGTGTAATCTTTAGCTTCCTAACTAATTCTCTGAAATATGACCTTTGATTTTCCACATCATTTTTTCTGCTCAGCAAAGTGGACTAATCTATCCTGCAACGTGATTCTCCCACTTCCATACTTCGGCTTTACCAAATGGTATAAAGATACGTCACTCTGTTTTTTTTTTTTCTTTTTTCTTTGTTTGTTTGTTTTTTACATTTGGAGAAAGTATTAGTCTGGAATTTGACAAGACTAAATAATTTGGGTAATTCCGGCTGACTTTAAACAGGAAAGTTGTAAAAAGTTACCGTCCTACACGGTGTACGTAAATATCTGGTTTCAACATGTAAACTGAAAATTATATACAGGTATTTCTATGAGGAACGTCGAACAAAATAACGCAGGCTTTCCCATCCATCAGTGTTTAAAGTCTTAATTCACAACTAATGCTGCTGTGTCAAGAGCCACTCAGTGCCTTAAACTTGTACAATTTACCTCACCATTAAGTATTTATTTTTTAAAGTTTTCTAACAATTATAATGCTTCTCTCAAAGTAATGTGAAATAATGTGTGAAATTGTTCTCTGCAGCCACCATTGATGTGGTCCTGTGTTCTGCTGGAATGAATGTAAGCAGATCAGAATAAGTAGGAATCATGGAGGACTTAAGAAAAGCTTGATTATATTCAGATAAGCTGATTTTTAAGTACTCTGCTGCAGAATGTTTTTGTAGCTCAAAGCTATTGAAGTGTAACTCTACTTTTTATGTAATGTATTGTTAATAAGAATAAATTTTTATAAATGTATTTAAATCTCTTTTTTATCTTTTATTTTATTCAGAAACTGTTCAAGAAGCTGATCCCACAGCATAATTCAAAATATCACCAGGGAAACTTGTCTGTTCCCATTCCCAGGACCTGTTATTTTTGAAACCTTCTCATTCAGACCCACATTCACACCACATGATGTTCCTCTGCGGAGCTGCAAATTCTTTCTTTCCAGAAATACATCCTTGTATGTCTATTGATACAGGAAGTAACACAAGAGGCTAATATTATATTTCTTAGGCTCATCCGGTAAGGGTGTTATGGTTATAGATCTTTAAAATATTTTACTTTTTATGGACATAACAGAAATGTAGACTTGATTGATCACAGACATTTTCAGTTATAAACTCTTGCCACACTTAATCTTTTCAAAAGAGATGGGAATAGTTTTGCTTTTTTTTTCTTTTTACAAAAAATAAGTTTTGGGAGGATTGTAGAAACGGTATTTGTCACATTGTAAATTCTATATTTTATATTTCAACAGAGTGCAAAAGAAAAAAAAAAGAACTACAAAAAAGATGGCGGACCGTGTGTCCTAATCGCTGCCTGAAGGTCCTTACGAAATAAACAAATTGGGGTCCTTTCTTGCTGAAGGCTAGCTGTTAAAACGGGTTTTAGCGCTACTTTGTTTTAACTATTCTTAAAAAATAGCCCATACTTTTGTCACTAGGTGTTATATAAGCTATCAGAGTTTTGTTATTAAAAGAGAAGTTTTATTCGGCTCGGCTTTTTGTGCTCTAAGTTGCGCCGTTGGTGCGTTTTTAGGCGTTGTGTTGTTTATCTTTCCGTTTCTGTTATTACGGAGCTAACGTTAGCATCACTTTAGCAAACAAACTGCTCCTACCAACCAGCCTAAGATCTTCAGTTATATTCCCTCATAAAGAAAAATAAGACGTAAGTTTATTGAAATGATGTGATAAAATAAAAACTCTGTTGTTTGTTGTGTGCCGCTAGCGGACATTGTAGTTTCGGTTCTGTGACGAGTAAGGAAGATGGCAGCTCGTTTATGTTTATTTATACTGTCTTGTTAACAAATTTTAGTTCTTACAATTCAAAATTAAGCGAGTTTGTGTCGCTTAATTTTGTCGCTTTTTCGTGGAAATGGACAGTAATGTTGTGTTTCGATTCTTCCACCAGGTGGCGTTGATGAGCAATCATGTCTGGCATTGCTCTCAGCAGGCTGTCCCAGGAGCGCAAAGCCTGGAGGAAAGACCACCCATTTGTAAGCAGCAGCGTAAACAGCACGCTTTTATCCTAAAATGCCGTCTCTACATGGCGATGTCTTCTAATAAAAAAAAATTTAAAAATCACATTTAGGACTTGTTTTCTCTAAACCAACAGGGTTTTGTTGCTGTGCCCACTAAGAATCCAGATGGAACCATGAATCTAATGAACTGGGAGTGTGCCATCCCTGGAAAGAAAGGGGTACGGTGATATTTAAGACAAAGTTTTCCCACATTTATTTCCGTCAGTTCTTTACATGCGCTGTATAGCAAAGTGTTCACACTGCAAAAACACAAAATCTTACCAAGCAATTTTGGTCTAGTTTCTAGTGCAAATATCTTCGTTCACTTGAAATAAGTCAGTAAAAACTTGCAAAGAACTTATCGGCAAGATATAGGGTCTTGTTTTGAATCAATAATATTGATGGAAAAAAATACTAGTTCCATTGGCAGATTATTTAACTTTTAGCAATTAATTTTTCCCATCTTTTAAGTGAAATGATCTGCCACTGGAACAAGTACTTCATCAATATTAAGAAATTATTGGCTTAAAACAAGCTCGTATTTCTTGCTGAAAAGTATCGCCTTATTTCAAGTGTACTAAGGTATTTGCACTGGCAAACAGACCAAAATTATCTGGTAAGATTTTGTGTTTTTGCAATGCAGACCACTGTTGCTACCACACATTTTTGTTGGGATTTCATGTGATGGATAAACACCAGTGATGTGCACTGGGATGTCAAGTATGCATGCTTTTATTTATTTTTTTATTTTTACAAGTAAGAATGTGAAAAACATGACATGCATTTCTGTTGACAGGACAAATAGTGGCACTCCTCAAATCTGGCCTTTTATGGAAGAGAGATAGATTTTCTGTTTGCACTTTGCCACCAGTTAAATAAGTATATAAGACTAAAGTTAGACTTTTAGCCTCCAAACTTATCACTCCACCTCACCACGAACATGCTATGCCACAAAATATGTGTTGGTCTATCATTAAAACCCCATCAGGTTTGTAACTGCAATGACAAAATGGAGAATAGCTCTAGGCTACATACATCCACAGCACACAGTGCTTCCCTGCTCTTGTGTAGCTGCATTTAAAGTGGACCTATTATACAAAATTCACATTTTGCAAGTTTTTGTACTTCAATTTGGGTTTCTACTCCTCCTAAAAACAACCAAAGTGCTTAAAAAACAAAACAAGAAACACTCAGCTGTTTTTTGGCAATAACTTAATGTTTTTTGGTGTCTGGAAAACAAGCCTTTTAAAAAAAACCTCCCGATTGTAACGTCACAAATCAGCGGACACTACCCCCTCACCCAGCAACCCCAGAAAAGCTCAACCTGTTACCTAGCAACCCAAGCTGAGCTCCAGGACATTTGGTCAGTAGGTTTAACCACTGTATGATTTGTACAACAGCTGCTGGAAAAGACAAGTGCTGTGGGCTAAACATCCAGAAACCACTTGGTGCATTCCTGTTGGTTTTGCAGGAGGCTCTACTTCTGCTTTTCAGAGATGTACGGTTGTATAACGACACAAATGTTTGCAGCCATTTTCACATGCGAGTGTAAATACTGAGTTTGTAGGGCATGACCCGCAGCAGCTTATTTGGATTTAAAGTGAGAAGACGCCCTAAACCAGGACCTCAAAATAGGCAGAACTGACCAGACTAAAATCTGATTATCTAAGGATGATTTTGTGCAAAAAAAAAAAAAAAAAATGAAAAAAATGGGTTTTTTATAGATAAAAGGCCTCCCCAAACCT